CTGGGATTCCTATAAATGTAGTTATTATAATTCTTTTACATAAGGCTATTCTTTTCAAACTGAGACAATTTATAATAAAAAAATTTAATAGAGTTAAAGCTTACCGGCCAAATTTGCAGGTGTAGTAAAAATATCATTTACATAAGCATTCACAAAACTATTATCACCATCTAAGTTTCTCGTATCATCAGTACTAGTGCATGATGACGAATTCGATAAGAAAGATGATGAATGTGAATCTTTAGCTTTTGGAGATGTTGAAATTGCAACTGGTGTCATTATCACGTCTACGCCATTATTTTTTTTTCTCAACTGATCTGATATTTCTAGAATTTCATCATCATTGCGATTGTAAAGAGACAACTCATTTTTTATGAGATGAAGAGGATTTGGTCTTCGAAAAACGGAATCAAAATCAGATTGAACCATTTTTCGAATTTTCTGAGCACAAAGAAAATAATTATCATAACATCTGTGCATATTATATAATGAAAAAGGAATTAGACATAAAAAATGAACCATATATATTGTAGGCATTGAATAATTTTTGTTACCCTGCAGTTAATGTATAAGTTCCTAACAAAATCCGACGTTTAACTTCTTCGCCGAACCCTTCGTTTCGTGTATGTGCATAAATTAGTTCATCATTTTTATTAGAATCCATATCACTTCGATAACCTTAGATTAAACAATCGAAATAAGCATATTATAAAAGAAAATGTAGTGCATCGAAAACTCTTAATTATACCGTATCGAACACCATCGTATCGTGCCAAATTGGATGAAGCCTCTGCCGGAGCTAAAATGTAATAAGCCGGCAATGCATATTTGGTGCTAGGACAGGATACAGACACAATTGTTGCACCATGGGAACGAAGAAGAGATATTCCTTGTTTCCATAAGCTTTTTATCGGATCACTTAATTCAGACACATAATATTCCTATAAAAGATTGACAGAAATAAGAAGGTATTGATTATAATTAAGAATAAATTAAGATAATTATTTACTTGTGGTATGCCAACGCGTAATTCACTCAAATTAGTAGAGTTTGTTTTATTAAAAGAAGCCAAAGAGGCATTTATTGAGCGCAGTTTTGGTGGAAGTGAAGATGGATCTTTCTCGTCATATTTTGATATTATATCTAAAAATGAAGGGAGTAAAATAATTTTCGTCCTTAAAGTATTATTCAGCATGATTCACAGATATTCATAATTTCATAGATTCAACGAACCATATATAAGTTGTGTATCAAGAACATTTCGCGTTATTATACCCACAGTATCCAATGAACTAGCATATGCGACTAGTCCCCACCGTGAGCATTGACCGTATGAGGGTTTGAAACCAATAACGCCACAATATGAAGCAGGCAGGCGTATAGATCCACCTGTGTCAGATCCAAGAGAACTTTTTTATGTCACAATAAAGTATATATTTTATGAAGCGAGAGAACTACTATTGTGTGATAAGTTTATTGTTGACCTACGCGAAGCACATTCCAGAAGCAACAGCAGCAGCACTACCACCAGAACTTCCACCAGCAACTCGTCGTTCTTGATCAATGGGATTATAAACTGGTCCAAATGCACTATACATATTTGCTGAACTTAACATTATTTATTTGATATTAAAGAGATAAATAAAAAATACTATGATTTCAAAAGAAAATTTATAATGATCGGTAATTAAAATTACCCCATTCCAAACTCATCCATATTCGTTTTTCCAATCATTATTGCACCAGCATCCTGAAGCAAATCTACAACGGTTGCATTAAAAGGAGATATGAAATCTTTTAAAGTGAAAGGGTTCATGATTTTAATTTCGTGGTTAAAGCAATTTGAAATTCACACAGAGCTACTCAACTTTTTAACATCTTAGATCCGCATGTGGTTGGTAATTCTTTAGTGCAAAAATTATCTTTATATGTGATAGGTATTCCAT